ACGGATCAGAGAAGTCTAAAGTTTCTGTTGGAACAGAGGGTGACGACCCAAGCGGAGCAACACTGGATAGCCAAACTGCCCGGCTACGATTTTGACATAGTGTATAAAACGGGAGCCAGCAACCGGGTGGCTGATGCGCTGTCACGAAAAAGCAGCGAGGAGTTAGATGGCGAGGTTGAGATCGAAGGGGACGACGGGGGTGTTGAATTGATGGGGATAGTGGGGCCGTATTGGAAAGATTTCCAAGACGTGATGCGAGAAGTGGAGGAAGATGATGACTTGAATAAAATCAGAGAAGGTGTCACACAGGATCCCAACAAATATCCGGCTTACACCATTGAAAACGGATGGTTGCACTACAATGGGAGGCTGGTTATTCCGACAAAGTCGGAGTGGGTACAGAAATTGTTGATCGAATTTCATACAACACTGACGGGGGGTCACTCGGGGGTTTATAGAACTTACAGGAGATTGGCACAGTCGCTATATTAGGTCGGGATGAAGAAATCAGTGACAGAGTATGTCAACCGCTATTTGGTGTGCCAGGAGCACAAATACATGACGGCGTCACCGTAGGTCCTGTTGCAACCACTACCCATTCCACAAGCTATCTGGGAGGACGTTAGCATGGACTTTATTGTGCGGCTACCGAAATCCAAAGGCCATGACGCTATACTGGTGGTTGTCGATCGACTGAGTAAATACGGGCACTTCATACCGCTCAGACATCCCTACACTGCTCGAACAGTAGCGGAAGTTTTTGTGAGAGAGGTAGTAAAGCTTCATGGGATTCCCAAGACCATAGTGAGTGATCTTGACCCATTGTTTCTCAAGCGCATTTTGGAGAGAAATGTTTAAGATGTAGGAAACAGAGGTGCTGAATCGAGTGCTGGAAGGATACTTATGATGCTTCTGTTCTGGGCAGCCCAAGACCTGGAACGTGGTCCTTCCATGGGCGAAGTACTGGTACAACACCAGTTACCAAGGAGCTGCCAAATGCATGTCGTTTGAAGCGATATATGGGAGAGCCCCGCCTTCGTTATCAAGGTTTATTCCGGGAGAAACAATGGTGGAAGCCGTGGCCCAAGAGTTACAAACACGTGATGAAGCGTTGCAGCAGTTGCGATATCACTTGTTGAGGGCACAAGATGCGATGGTGAAGCAAGCAAATCAAAAGAGGAGGCCAGTAACCATTAAGGTAGATGATTGAGTGTTTTTAAAGATAAGACCCCACCGACAAACCTCTATGTCGGTGAAGTTGCATCCGAAGTTAGCGGCTAGATATTATGGGCCGTTCAAGGTGATCCAGAAGATAGGGGAAGTGGCGTTCATATTAGAATTGCCCGCGAACGCCAGGATTCACCCTATTTTCCACGTGTCTCAACTAAAATTGGCGATTGGGACGAAGCAGGTGGAAGCTGAGCTGCCAACAGATTTACAAGTTGATGGACCTACGTGCTGGCCAGCCAAGGTGCTAAATAGAAGAGTCCAACAGCAAGAGGGGGAACAAGGTGAACAAGTGTTGATCGAGTGGCAAGATGGAAGGGCAGACAGTGCAACATGGAAGGATCGGAGGTTGATGCAGGAACAATTCCCCGAGTTCGACCTTGGAGACAAGGTCAGTTTTCAGGAGGGGAGTGATGTTAGAGAATGGAGGGTCTATGAGAGAAGAAAGGGAAAACAAAGGACTTAACTGCTAGTCAGTTAAGTGGGTTTGGAAAAGAGGCCTATATAAGGACCTCTTTGTTGTATCAGTTAGTTAGTTAGACATTTGTTGATTTGTTGACCGGTCATAGCACCTGGTGAAGGAGGTTAATCTGAATGTGCTGATGGAAGCTGCTTCCCTCTTATTTTGCAGCAAGGGATTAATTGCAAATGGATGAATGCGAGGGAAGTTCTTATTGTAAAACCTACTCGTTCTAATCGAGTTGATCCAGATTACTTGGAATATGAACGAAGACTTGAGAAGTGGTACTCTCTAAATCCATATGATGTAATCGTTGCCACATGATTTATTGCAAGCACACCTCAGAATATTCCTACTACTCTCAAGAGAGATGGAAGTGACTTTTCGGTAGCTATTATGGGTGCTCTCTTTAAGGCTTGCCAGGTCACAATTTGGATAGATGTAGACGTCATGTATAGTGCAGATCCCAGAAAAGGTTCACTCTGCTCCTTCACTATTGACACGGTAATGATAATTTTGTTTTGTTCTGTCTTATATTTGACAACCTTAGTGTTTTTCTTTATTTAAAAGGAAATAGGATCAATTAATCGCTCTAAGTATAGAATAAATTCTTTAAATAACAGTTTCAATTCATGTTTATAAAAATTAATAAGGGAACGTATTCTTATAAATGATTTTACACCAACTATTTTGTTTATATAACAATTTATCTTTATTCAAATTGTTGTTTTGATGGCTAAGATTTCTTTCATCTTGATTTTCATTCTTACCCTAATCATTTCAGGTATATATAACAATTTTAGAAATATTTTTAGAAAACATTACATTTCCTTGAGTTCTTTAAAGATATTACCACTTATACTGTCTTAGAATATTACACTGAGAAAAAGTTTATAAAGTATTTATTTAATTTTACTTTCTATGTTATTATATAGTTTCAGATAAACGCAACTGAGTAAATTTGTATGAGTTTTAAAGAGACATTCTTCTATTATTATATCATTTGACTTGCCAGCATATGAAGTCAAAACAAAGCCTTCTACTTGATTCTATAATTTTTATATCTGAAATTTAACTTGTATGTGATTTTTAATGAGAAGTTGCCTTTTCTTTCTCTTCCTTTTACATTTTCATACCTATTTCAAGAACAAGTGGAGCAAAGTCAGGAAAAAGATGTATGCGAGTATTGGATCCATATGCATGCATATACAATATTGTTTTAACTCTATTATTTTATTTGTAGATCTTTAATGATTCATCTCCCATGGAAGATGTAGACATTGAAGACATTACAAGAAACTAGCCTTCTTTTATTTTAAGTGTTAGTAGAAACTTAACTACAATTCAATAATGTATGTACATTAATGTAATATTTATATTTAATATATAGTTTCATGTATAAATGATGTATTAAATATTATTAGACAATTTAATGTTTGAAATGAATTTTATTTTGTTAGTTCCATTGAATTTGTTCATTTGAAGTTATATTGATTATAAATTGATTGGATGAGATGATAATACAGGAATATGATTATAATTTCATTGGATGTCAATTGTAATAATCAATTTTTTTTTAAAAAATACATATATTATAACGTACTAAACAATGTACGTCATAATACGTTGATTCTGAATTCAACATATTATGATTGGTAAAAATATCTACGTCATAATACATCACATATTATAACGTACAAACAAATATATGTCATAATATCTCCTGCCATATTATAACGGACAAATAAAAATTTGTCATAATAAATTGCGCATATTATGACGGTCTTTAGAAACTACGTTATAATATGTTCAAGCTATTATGACGTAATTTTCTACTACGTTATAAAATGTGCAGACTTACTATAACACCCAGAACTATGTCTCCAATAACTACGTCATAATATATCATTTTTGTACGTCATAAAATATCATTTTTCCACTAGTGCTGACACCTATGTTGGAGGACCGAAGAATTGACGGATGCCAATAAATTTACCAATACTTCGAACACGTTCATAATGCTTTGGACGACCAATGGCAACTGTCAATATGTCCTCACGACCCTTGGGAGTAAATGTACCCTGTGTGCTTTGCTCCACCAACTCATCCTACAACCAAATATTTAAAGTTAAGTTAATCACATATGGGAGATCATATGTTGTTAATATATGGACTTACAATGCGCCTAGCTATGCTCGATGTTTCCTCAGATGTGTACTCCCAGATGGTCTTTGGCGAGCTCTCTTCCATGTAACATGGCGTGGAGGACGAGTTATGGTACTCGTATCGGAGGCCCCAATAGGATTAGAGGCAGATGCCTCTTTCATCATCTTCTGCTCCAATTTCTCATAACCCTCACGAGACAATATTTGGGGGTGGACATTTTTCTTTGCGATCTCTTGTGTAGCTCTCCTCTTAGCCTATGACATCAGTGTATAGATAATTAATTATGTTAGCAATATGTTAACATAAATAGTTAAACTATGATATAAAATGAATTTACCTAAAAGGCAACATCTAATCGCTTCAACTTAAAGGCTTTTCATGTTTCCTCAACAAGAAATTGATAATTTTCATAAGGGCTTTTATCAGTTTTGGAACCATAAATATAATGACTTGTAAGCATAGTCTTGAAATTCTTCCATCTTTCCCCAGCATATGAAATCCATTTCGTCCTCAATGGATTAGTGTTTGGGACGTTATATGTGACCTATGCAATAACATTATAGTGTTTGGCTACTGCCTTCCTTCTGTGCCATAACATTTCTCATGGGATTAATCTACTTAAAACTCCAGTTTTGGATTAAAATTATTTATATATGTTAATGACACATTATATTAAAGTTAAGATTTCATACCAGGATGCTCTGCCATATTTGGTTCTTCACATTCTTTGGACATGATCCCAATCATCACAAAGACTGGATGTTTTGCTTCTACCGAGCAAGACTACATAATTGATGAATTTCTTACTATTTTCTCCTAAGGGTTTACAAGTTTGCATATCAAAATGAATGGGAAGCCTATGATCAGTGTTGCGGGTGGCTGCCAACTCTCTCAACTTATTCCCAGAGCTACCTTTTTTTCAGGTAGGCGTATGAATGTCATCCGCACCTTGTGAAGGTGGGAGGTCACCAAATTGTACGTCACCAGACATTTCCCTACATAAATCATTAAGTGTTAATAATAATTAATGGGTAAAATAACAAAGCAAAATATATAATACATCTAAAATTTTAATTTATACATTGTCAAGTTGCAATGTTTTCCCACAACCCTTCGTGGTGATCATCACGTATGGCATGGACGTCGTCTACTTCATTATCGACATCAAGGTTGGCATATTTGATGAGAAAGATGGAGTTTCACTAATATCAAGAACGGCTTCATCATTGTCATCAGTATAATGAATTGTTCTATCTTGGAGCACCACTGACCATCTATTGTGTTCAGAACCAGTGACATAAAACACTTGTTTTGCCTGAGATGCCATGATAAATGGCTCTTCAATATAACCTTCCTTTTCTAGGTCAACCAATGTAAAACCTAGATCATCGGTCCTCATGCCAGTATTACCATCAACCCACTTACATTTAAAAACAGGTACTTTGAAACTTGTGTAATTTATCACCCAAATATCTTCAATTACACCAAAGTAGCACATGGATGCCATCACAGGATTTTTGTCCTTTGAACTCGAGAAATGCATTGACTCGGCCACAACCATTACTCCACTATTTTGAGTGGTGCTTTTTTCATCTTCTTTTTGTGTATGAAATGTGTAGTTATTTATATCATACCCACTCCAACATATGACATCAAAGTTTGGCTCACTTGATAGCCAATTTAATGTATCAGAAGTTGTACGGTCAACTTGAACTTGTTGTTTGAACCACTTTAAAAAGGTTTTGTTGTGCTCATTAATGACCCACTTTTGAGGCATTCGTGGATTATTTCTCTTAACTATATCTTTATGAGCACTTAAGTAGGGGATTACTTCTTCAGTGTTATTCAATATATACATATGTGCTCGTAGAATTTCAGCTCTATTCAGGGTGACAACTTTTGCACTTCTAGTACCCTTACCGACACCTCTTCCATGATCACGAGACCTAGGTACCCCTATAGCTTTAACATATGATAAATAGTCTGCACAAAACTCAATAGCTTCCTCAACAATAAATCTTTCAACGTGATGCTTCAAGACGATATTGGTTCTTTACATAGCCTTTTAATATCTTCATGTATCTCTCAATAGGGTACATCCATCGTAAGAATACTGGACCACAAATTCTAACTTCTCTTACTAGATGAATAATCAAGTGCACCATAATATCAAAGATTGATGGAGGAAAATACATCTCTAACTGACACAATATGACCACAACCTCATTTTCTAATTGATCCAACTTCTCAATTTCAATAACTTTACTACATATTGCATTGAAAAGAAAGCACAATCTTGTTAATGTGTATCTAAGATTCTTAGGCAATATGCCCTGAATAGCCATTGGTAGAAGTTATTGCATTAATACATAACAATCATGAAATTTTAACCCAAGTAATTTATGATCTTTCGTGGATATAACTCCTTTAAAATTAGAAGAGTAACCCAGTGAAACTTTCACACCTTGTAAAAACTCACAAAAGTCATTTTCTCTTGTTTACACAATGTGTGGCATGCTGGAGGCAAGTATGTCCGCTTACCATGTGATATTGGAGCTAATTGTTCCCTTATACCCATTTCAACCAAGTCCAAGCGAGCATTGAGTCCATTTTTCGTTTTCCCTTGAATATTGAGGAGTGTTTCGATAATACTGTCACAAACATGTTTCTCTACATGCATAACATCTAAACAATGTCTGACATCAAGCACCCTCTAATATGGCAAAGAAAATGGACCTTTTCTTCCATATGTTGCTTGAAGTGCCTTTTTTTGCGTCTTTCCAAGAATAACCCCAATGTCTTTCACACGTTCATACACTTGTGATCCACTTAAAGCCATTGGAGCTAATTCATTTTCTTGACACCCATTAAATGCTTTCTTTAATTTACGATATGGATTGTTTGTACTAAGAAACCTCTGATGTCCAAGGTATACTATTTTCCTTCCATGTTGTAGTTGACGATAACATGTGCCTTCTTCACATATAGGGCATGCTTTGTGACCCTTAGTGCTATAGCCACTTAAATTACCATAAGCTGGAAACTCATTGATTGTACAAAATAGCATGACATGCAACTTGAATGAATCACCAGTGTACCCATCAAACATATCAACACCTTCCCCCATAACATTTTCAAATCTTCAACTAATTGAGCTAAATAAACATCAATATCGTTTCCTGGTTGTCTTGGACCCGAGATCATCAAGGATAACATCACATATTTGCGTTTCATGCACAACCACGAAGGTAAATTGTAAATCACTAACATCACAGGCCACGAGCTATGTTTACTGCTCAAGTTCCCATATGGATTCATTCCATCTATAGCAAGTCCAAATCTAATATTCCTTGAATCTTTACAGAAATTAGGGAACATGGAGTCAATATTCTTCCATTGCATTGCATATGCCGGATGCCTCAAATTCCCGTCTCTTATACGTCCATCTACATGTCATCTCATGAGTTTTGCATCGTTTGGGTTATTGAATAAGCGTTTCAACCGTGGAACAATAGGAAGATACCATAAGACTTTTGCAGGAGGACCCTTACTGTCACATTCAGTCTCACCCTCTCTTTGTTTGTATCGTGATACCCCACATTGTGGACGTTGATGTAACTTGGCAAACTCGCTCTTGTATAATATACAATCGTTTGGGCATGCATGAATTTTTTTATACTCCATACCCATGGGACACAATATCTTCTTCGCATCATAATTGCGTGTTGGCAATGTGTCACCTTCAGGAAGCATGTCACTCAACAACTCAAGCAACTGTGTGAAGCTTTTATCAGTTCACCCATTTCTTGCCTTCACATTGAACAATTTTAACACAATTGACAATCGAGAATACTTAGTGCATTCTGGATATAAAGGTTTTTCTGCGGCACTCTCATATTCATTTGTTGTGTGTATCAAATTTATCCAACTCCAATCCATTGTTATCTGGAAAAGCAACCACCTCTACAACAGTCAAAAGTAAAAATG